CTCCCCCCCCCCCGCCGCCCCCCCAGTCCCGCGGGGGGGCGCGGGCCCAGGTTTGTCTTTCGTGGCGGGGGGCGGGGGGGGGGGGGGAGGGGTTGACTTCACCTGCGAAGTACAGTATCCTGCGATCACGCCCTCCTAATATCTTTTCATTCACTGATTGCGGCTTACCTGTTATGTGAACCTCTAGATCTGAATCACATCACTTTCCATTGGCAAATATATACAGTCTTCATTTATTTCTCTAGAGAACTTAAACCGGTTTGCTTGCTAGCTAATAAGTACGTACCCTGTAAAGCTCATTTGATATCGAAAATCACGATAAAAGACAGTAAAACGAACTATCAAACCTAAGATGCTTGACAAGGCGCGTAAGAAAATATCGAGCGCGCGTGATAAGTGGTGCGCGCGAGAGTGGATGAAACGCGCCACCCTTCTTTGTTTACGCACGCTTTATCGAACCTGTCGTTTCCGCCTCTGGTTAAACTGAAAAATTCACTGCTTTTTGAAGTATTTGAATCTAATGGCAAAATAATCTCAAAACACGAATCATCAAAAATTTCATGTTACATTTTGTAAAATATGGAAACACACTGATAGACTGCGAGTAGTTCCCGGAGGCGATTACACGCGCGCTCTCGTCTTACTCAGTGTCTCGCCTCTCCTCGCGGAAGGCGACAGATTTCACGCGCTTTAGGTCTTCTACTCGTCCTGGTTTCGTTCAGCTTTGCTATCATTAAGGTAAAGAGGGAATACTCATGTAGTCCTGATGAAGAAGGAATAATGATAATGTCGTAGTCTAAAAGACAAATAGCACTGATAAGAAAGTACTGTAGAAGCCGAGTACGAGTTTATTTGACTGGTAGCATTATAGCATAGCCTCCCGCGGAAGTCCTTTGGGGTTCGTTCGTCACGCATTCATTTCTCGCCCACGGAGGGGAGAAATGAACGTCTTCGGGGAGGCTAATGATAGCATTACGTCCGCACCCTTAAGATAAAAGTAATAAGAACCAATCTTAAGAGTTCCTTTTGTGTCGTTAGTATTTTTTATTAAGAAGATTGTGCTTTAATGACTAAATAACATACTGTAAGGTCTGTGTAAATAAGCGATATCAGCCCCTTGGGCCGCAAGTTGGCGGTATTCATTTGTTGTTGTTCAATAAATTAGCGGATTTATTACAAATTATGGATGGTGCTTTCTGACTGAATTTGAGTTTTTCACTAAAGGAGGTATGAACCTACAAGCTACTTCCATTGCTGGATTTCTGGGTCACGTTTCCTGACTTATCTTAAACGTGAGCTGGTAGGAACTCCCCATTTTTTGCGTTTCTTAGCCTGTTGATTACGTGTCTCGAGAGATTATATTCAATTTCATCCTGTTTACTGACTTAAGACCGCAAAACCATAGACATGTTGGGAGACAAATACCCTACCTGTGTAGGCCAAATAAGAGAGTGCCTCCCCCCTGACTGACACCTCTCTTTGATAAGTTCCCGGTACGGGAGTAGGTTATTTTGGCCACGAGGACACTAAATTGATCTACAGTCTGTTTCTACTTATACTGTAATTACAGAAAGCTTTGTACGCGGGGATTTGGGTCTGTCCCTTTTGATGTCCTTATTAATTAAGGGGTTTGAACTGTACAGCATCGCCGATTTCAGTCACTAATTGCACACCGGAGACGTTTATGTATAGGAAATTGATACCCCAATCCTCGAAGGCCATAAAAATGCCCAGGTCGTGGGGGTCAAGCTTCTTATAGGCTTCAAATATGTAATATATTCGCTAAAACAATTCCTGATGAGCTTTAAATAGCACGTATATACTACGTGCCACACACAGATTTGTTGTTAGAATAAATCGACAGTACTTTCAATTGATGCTCTACCAGATGAAACACTGAAAACCGCCTCTTAAGGCATCTGTCACCCCTTGTAAGATTCAAGTGATGTTATTAATGACTTGCTTGTATGAGAATGCAACCTACCTGAAGTGAAGATAAAACGCGCGGTGAGATAAGCGGATATTCGGTAGTGTGATNGCACACCGGAGACGTTTATGTATAGGAAATTGATACCCCAATCCTCGAAGGCCATAAAAATGCCCAGGTCGTGGGGGTCAAGCTTCTTATAGGCTTCAAATATGTAATATATTCGCTAAAACAATTCCTGATGAGCTTTAAATAGCACGTATATACTACGTGCCACACACAGATTTGTTGTTAGAATAAATCGACAGTACTTTCAATTGATGCTCTACCAGATGAAACACTGAAAACCGCCTCTTAAGGCATCTGTCACCCCTTGTAAGATTCAAGTGATGTTATTAATGACTTGCTTGTATGAGAATGCAACCTACCTGAAGTGAAGATAAAACGCGCGGTGAGATAAGCGGATATTCGGTAGTGTGATAACAGCTCAAGAAACACGAAATCCAAAACATGAGCCGAGTTTACCTCTGCACTCGACACACGCCCCTCGAAGCAGAAATGTCGAACGCTCGTACCGAAGCAGTGATGAGTACGGAAAACCCTGACGCTGAGTCGGACGGGGAAGGCTTTGAGATTGAAGTGTTTAAATCGCAAGTGGTAACTATCGCCTCGTGCAGTTTTACAGAGGACAAAAGTAGCGTGGAGAATATTCGCTATAAAAGCTGCGGTGATCCAACCGGACTTCTACCCAACAAAGTGACCGCTGTTGTCGAAGCAAACGATAGCAAAAAAGAGTCCATTGTGGCTGGAAGTGCCGTGGAGCATAAAGCGAGGCGATTCAAGCGTATCTCACTCCCTCAGTGGCTTCTAAAACCAAGCAGAAAAGCCTCGCACAGCTCATCGCGCATACGAAGAGTAAGCGGTGCCGGAAAGCATAGGATAATGCGCATTAACTCGGCGCCAACTAAATCGTTTACTCCTGGAAATGGGAATAATTTTGCTCATTACGACGAGAGTAAGTTCCATATTTTCCACAAGAACGCTTCTAAAGAAAAAGAGCACGAGGCGGCTAATCAACAGACTAAAGAAACGCGGAAAATGAGAAGGGTATCTTTACCAGCTCATGTGTTAGACATGTCAGGATCAATGATGGCTAAACGACTAGCTGACGCGCCAATGCCACGAACACCTGACCCGAAGAGAAAAAACCTCGCGGAATTAGACGAAAAATTTATCCAGTCTTTGCAAATAAAAGGCCCTCAGTTCACCAGCAGCATGACAACAACGAAACGGGCATCAGCTGGGGAAAATATTATGGTCAGTGGCAGCCAAGTCTCGTCTGCGAGTCATGCCGAGAATCACGAAGCAGAGGCAAAGCCGGCTTCCACGCGCGACACACGCGAGGTCTTAACGCAGTTAAAGAATGCAAGAAAGGAAAATCCTGTTTCGTCAAAGCCTCATGACAATTCTAGACCATTGTCGCGCCCGGTGCTTAAATTGCACAGGTTTCACAACCCGGACATTTTCTACGTTCCATTACCGGATGATGAAACGCAGAGTTCTGATAATTTATCGTACAAGTTGTGTCGCGCTCGCCTTATTGAGCCGAGGAGTGAGAACTACATGATACAAGAATGTGTGAAAGAGGAATTGCAGGCTTTTCTACAAGATAAACAGTTCTGCAGTCAATCGTGCCAGCGTTGGTGTCTAGAGCTAAGCCAAAGTATCAAAACCACTGTGCATAGGCTTAAGGACTGTCAAAGCAAGATCGCGTGTATCGTGTACATCGGCGCGTTGCGTGGTCACGGGGTCCACGCGGCCGCTCAGTGCATTTGGACGCCAAATGACGACAATTTTATCACCGTGAACTTTAGAAATCGTTCTATGATTGCCGTAGCATCGGTTTTGGCAATCAAATACGTCTGATTACTTCTTTCAGCGATTTACAGCTGCTGACATTCGATTGGAAATATCTCGTGATGTCTGACAACATATCGTGTTATGATATCAAACCCATCAATTCCAAGGCGCTAAAAACGGAAGAATGTAAAAGGGCGTACACCCATTAATGTCTCATTTCTAGCTTTTTCAAATGTAATCAACGCTGTAATGTACATGTGTTTTTTTCATTCAGTGAAATAAGAGTATTAAAGTTCAGAAAAACTACTTTTCAAGTGCCGTAGATGAGCGGACAGCGCGTGTCTTTCGCCTGAACACTATGACGTAATCAACCCGCCGGATAACCATTTCCTTCACACACCCCGGCCTATTATTTCGCTCAATTCAAGCAGATTTTCGCTCCCGCACTATCGAGGCAAACAGCGCTCAAGCAGTTCAGTCAACACTCACTATTAAAGATTTCCCCTTGGGGTGGGATTGGGGTGGGGGGGGGGGTACGTATGTCCCCGCTATGAATTTCACTTTACCATCGTTTAGCGTTTTGAGGGGTGGGCCATGTTTGTCAGTATTTAACCAATCTTTATGTCGTTTGTAGCCATTTCATCTAGTCTTATGTCGCTGTTTTTGTGGATTTTAAAATATGTTCACTCTCTTCGCACGTATCGTCTTTAAACTTCTATGTTAAGTTATTTTATTTTAAGGCCTTCTTTCTAG